TTTTCTGGGGCTAAACGATGATCACTATGCTCGCGCCGCATTGAACAGTTCAATTGAACTGGTGGAGAAGGGTAAAAAATCATGGGTGTCAGATGTTACCAAGGCTATTACAAGGCTGCCATTGGTTTGCCCTGAATTTGTGTTGACTCGCCAAACCACTGATAAAGAGGTTGAGACTTACGCGAAACTCGTGCGCAAACTTATGTTAGAATGGTTGCAAGACGAAATTGACTCTTCTGATAAGCTCTACCTGCTCCACGGCCGTCAGGAACCACAAAAGGACAAATCACTAACCCAAGTTACCTCCTGCATGCAGCATTATCTAACAATGGTCAAGACACAGAAACACTGAGAGGTGCTTACCTCTCTGATGCTGTCAACTCATTTGTTAGCTGTCGAGATCTTGCAGTATGTTGATCATGTGCATCAACCTGTGCCTCGCGACGAGCGACTTTGTAGGTTCTGCAAGAATGAAGTTGAAACACCAGAACATGCCTTGATTACTTGTGAGCATTCAGAATCACTTGTAGAATTAAGAGCAATTTTTCTAGGACAGCTTTTCGCCACACTTCCAGACCTGCGTGTCCAGATGATGGAACTCTCGAACACGGATTTCTTGAGAGCCATTATCTATCCTCGCCCAACAATCGCACTAGTTGCAAAATACGCGTATGAAGTCCTGGAGTTGTTCTATGCAGTGCCTGTGTGGTGTTGAAATGCTTGAGTGAGGTATTTTCCCATTGATCTGTTGACTTTTTTTTTGCTTCTTTAGGTTCTGATAGTTCTACCATGGCGAGCTGGTCCAGACCACCCGACAATCCACTGTGACCGTGAGCTCGGCTAGAGGGATCTGAGGAGGCCCAGGGGCAATGGTGTAATTACTGTGTACACACCGGGATAATCCCTGGAAACCGGTGTTCCTAAGCGGGACCGTGCCGTGTAAATCCACCTACCTACCTCGCTTAAACATGAGATAATTTCATTCTGGGCTGACAATCACCAAATGCCGATCTGATCTGATCCCAGTTTTTTTGACCGCTTCCTTCTTTCCACGTTCCACCAGCCACCATAGACAACATCCAGCTAGTGGCCAGTGGCGCGGAAGGCGACCTGCTCGCATTCCGGGACTCTGTGAATGAATGTCCAGCTCTCCTTCTGCTCAACTGATTATTTCTACGCCAGTGACAATTCCCCCTCTCATTTGTGAATGCCAACCCCGGTATTTTCCTGTCCTCGGACTGGGTGCATCTTGCTCAGCTTTGGGTATTTTTTTCCGGCCGCAATGTGTCTACCTCAACGTGTCAATCCCCTATTTCTGTCAAACTGGAGCCGTCTCAAGCTTTCGTCTCCATCTGTCCCCAAGAATCACGCGTCAAAACCGAGGACTCGGGTTCACCTACTATTGATTTGACCTCCCTGGCTCACCCTGCCATTCGGATCGATTTTGAAGGGTGGGATACGGACATTGTTTTCACCGAGGCTGAGCTTCCGATTTTAACCCCTCCCCCCGTGTCGTCCCCATACTCGTCCCCCACTGCTCTCCAAGTAATCTCGCCTCCTCCCATTGAAGTCTTGAACACCGACCTTGATGAGCGCAACATTGTTCATTTTTCATGCACTCTGAATCCAACCAAGTGTGCGTTGGAAACTGTTGGAACTGCAGTTCAAAGCAAGGCAAAAAAACCGAAGAGTAAACAAGTGAATTCCTGTGTTGTGTTTATCTATCATTAATTTCTTGCTTATTCCTCTCCCTCGGTGATCTGGGGTTGTGGTTCCGTGTCCATGTCGATCATCAAATTAATTACTTACACTAACTGTGCAAAAGAAATGTCACATGTGTTCTGAGCCATTTCTGACCGAAATCATCCCAAATAAAATGTAGACATGTATTTAGAGCAATTATAAGATGGTGTGCACCATTTAAACCATACCTTTCCACCTTCATTACCTCTCAAAATATTATTTCGACCTGTTCTGAAAAGTTGAGTCCGTGGAATCACCATGTATGAAGAAATGGTGTATATAGTCGGAAACTACTTGTAAAATAGACCTCCCACGTATTTTGCTTGACGTGAATCTATGGGGTTTTGAGCTCACAGCAAGGCGTACAAGTTGTCCATTTTTGGCATTTTGTCGGCAGTTTCCGTCAAAATGCCCCAAATGACAAACTTGCAACGGGCATTATGAGTTCAAAACACTATGAATTCAAGCCGAATAAAGTACACAATAGGTCTATTTTCTGAGTACTTTCAGACCATGTTTTCATGCGTGATGATTCCACAGACTCGACTTTTCCAAATCCGTCAAAACAAGATTTTCTGGGGGAATGAAGTAGGAAAGGCATGGGTTAAACGGTGCACACCATCTTAGAATTGCTCAAAATACATGTCTACATTTTATTTGGAGTGATTCCACTCAGAAATGGCTCAGAACACATGTGACATTTCTTTTACACAGTTAGTGTACATACATGTATTTTCCTCTGTATTAATACATGGCGGCTTTGAATCGAAATTGAATTATTGAAATGATTAGAGTGCAAAAAGCCGCGTGGCACCAAACCGACAGTGGCGCAAGTGACATGCAGATACGTCACAAGCGGCACGACATGACAGGGGCGCAAGTGGCATGCAGATACGCCACAGTGGCGCGACATCGCCGAGAGTGGCGTAACTCGTCCATGCTAGCCGACGAGTCTGAGTCTGAGTGTGGCGTAGTTGGTCGATCTAAGTCTTCTCCCAAGTTGAGTTTATGAACGCCAGAGTTCCCCAAAGTGATCGCGATTCGAGAAGGTGTGAGGTTAGGCTGTGTTCGTGCCTAGTCTCTCGTAGACAGACACTTCAACATTCTGAAACTCGTACCTCGTTTGTTGACTGTACCATTTAATTCAATTCGTACGCCTTGTGACCTGTGACCAAAATTTACGAAATTCAGAATTCGTACTTTGTCTGAGGGAGCGTGACCGGATTTTTTTTCGTAAATCCGCCGCAAAGTGTGCAGGATGCGACGGAGTTGATAAAGCTGCTAACTCGTACTCGTAGAACTATTGTAGACGGTGTAAGATAGCTACTGTCAGAATTGGCAGCTCGTGTGAATACCGTGGCGTCGTTCCCTGTTGCGGCGCGCGCGGAGGCGAAAAATTCAATTTTTGAGCGATTTTACTGTGATTTCGTGACTCGTTTTCAGAATTCGTACATGGCTGGGTGACCTGTGACCCGTACGAAAAATTTCGTAAATTTTGAGGCCTGTGACCTGTGACATACGAATTGAATTAAATGGTACAGTAGTCCTGCAGTAGGATCCGGATTTGTATACGTATCTTAGTAATAATGTGGGTGTGACAATATCCCAAGAATGATTTTTACCTGCATGAACAAAACAAAAAAAAAGAGGCAAGGGGTTGGGAGTTGCTAGTATGTAGGTAAAATGAGATGCCCCCCCCCCAAAAAAAAAAAAAAAACCGGACCAAAGTTGGGACATTCGGACGCGGAGAGTCGAACCCCGGACTGCCAGCGTCTATAGTATATCTGCACGACAAAGCAAGCTGACTGTGTGCCGTACACCACGTCCGATTTACAGACCGAGTCTCGCAATCAGCTGACCTACAGTGAAATAGATCCACAAAAGCAATCATGTACGTACAGACGGTAGACAGTGCAGGGTCAAGGAAGGAAGGGACGAGGCGGGGTGTATTTTACAGTAGGATTCGGATTGTATCTAATAATGCGGGTGTGACAATATCCCAAGAGTAAGAATGATTTTGCCTGCATGAAAACAAAAAAGAGGGAGGGTTGAGAGCTAGTAGGTAAGGTAAAATGAGATGTCAAAAAGGTGACAACACCTCTGGACCATTCGGACGCGGGGAGTCGAACCCCGGACTGCCAGTGATCCTGTACTTCCAGAGAAGGAAGTTGGCTGTGTGCTGTACACCACATCCGATTTCCTGCCTACTTCAATACCTCCCCAAAGCTCAAGAGGAAAAAGAGTTTGAAGGGGGGTAAAGAAATAATCGCAATGTATTCGGACACGGGGAGTCGAACCCCGGCCTGCCAGCGACTTTTTTCTCGTCATGTATGCACTAAGGAAGCTGGCTGTGTGCCATACACCACATCCGATGTCTTGCTAAGGTTAGTTCGAGTGTATGTACATATCAACTTGAATGTCCTTTACTTTGTCCAGCACAAAATATCTCTCGAGGAATTGATATCCTTACCTCGGGAAAACACCAGAAATGTGCTTAAAAAACTTATGCAAATTCAGTTTCAAGAGCGAAACAACTTTGTGAACGGACAAAAAGATGCTGTGTATGCCCAGTTGGAACATTCGGACGCGGGGAGTCGAACCCCGGACTGCCTGCGATCTGCTGCAGGTTCTGTGGCCAGGTAAGCCGGCTGTGCACCGTACACCACATCCGACTTCCTGCTTAATTCGGTTCTGCATGAAGTGCAAGAGGCTGGTGCACGAAGTTTGAGGGTATTGATACGTATACTCCTGCAGTAGGATCCGGACTTGTATCTAATAATGTATTGTGTGGGTGTGACGATTAATATCCCAAGGATGATTTTATCTGCGTAAAAGAAAAAGAAAAAAAAAAGAGGGAAGGGGTTGAGAGCTGCTAGTATGTAGGTAACGAGATGCCCCCCCCCAAAAAAAAAAAAACCCGACGGTAGTTGGGATATTCGGACGCGGGGAGTCGAACCCCGAACTGCCAACGTCTATAGTATAGATGCATGATAAAGCAAGCTGACTGCGTGCCGTACACCACGTCCGATTTATAGGTTGAGTCTCGCAATGAAGTAGATCCACAAAAGCAATCGCGTGCAGACGCAGACGGTCGACAGTGCAGGATAAAGGTAGGAAGGGACGAGGCAGGGGTGTATTTTATTTCAAGTAATATGTATATATATCTGATTTTTTCTCTCTTATTTCGAGTATTCTGATTCACTCAGCTCGTAGGTAAAATGAGATGTCCAAAAAAAAATGCTGACCATCTTGGAATATTCGGACGCGGGGAGTCGAACCCCGGACTGCCAGCGTCTATAGAACCGAGTCTGCCGCTGATAAAGCAAGCTGGCTGTGTGCCGTACACCACATCCGACTTCCTGCTTAATTCGGTTCTGCATGAAGTGGAAGGAAGAGGCTGGCTGGTGCACGAGGTTTGAGGGTATTGATACGTATACTCCTGCAGTAGGGTCCGGATTTGTATTTAATAATGTGGGTGTGACATTATCCCAAGAATAAGAATGATTTTGCCTGCGTGAAAAAAAAAAGAGGCAAGGGGTTGAGAGCTAAGTAGTAGGTAAAATGAGATGTCAAAAAAAAAAAAATTCTGTCAACCAAAGTTGGGACATTCGGACGCGGGGAGTCGAACCCCGGACTGCCAGCGTCTATAGAACCGAGTCTGCCGCTGATAAAGCAAGCTGGCTGTGTGCCGTACACCACATCCGATTTCTTGCTTAATTCGGTTCTGCGTGAAGTGGAAGGAAGAGGCTGGCTGGTGCACGAGGTTTGACGGTATTGATATGTATACTCCTGCAGTAGGGTCCGGATCTGCATCTAACAATGTGGGTGTGACAATATCCCAAGAATAAGAATGATTTTGCCTGCGTGAAAAAAAAAAAGAGGCAAGGGGTTGAGAGCTAAGTACTTAGGTAAAGAGATGCCCCCCCCAAAAAAAAAATCCAGACGATAGTTGGGATATTCGGACGCGGGGAGTCGAACCCCGAACTGCCAGCGACTACAGCAATCTGATCGCGGGAAAGCAAGCTGACTGTGTGCCGTACACCACGTCCGATTTATAGGCTGAGTCTCGCAAGCGGCTAGCTGAGGTAAGCCCACAAAAGCAATCGTGTATGTACAGACGGTAGACAGTGCAGGGCAAGGAAGGGACGAGGCGGGGGTGTATTTCGTATTCTATTTCAAGTATTCTGATTCAGGCGCAGGGACCCCGCACGAGTCCTCGCGCAAGGGAAAAATCTCAGGAAAAGAAGACAGAAGCAAGAAGCAACCCCGGCAACGCTTGCATCATGGAATCGCATAGCAGCATAGCATACAGTCGTAGTGTACTACCCACAGCCCCCTCACCGCAGGTGAGGCGCCTCGCTCTCCGCTCCCCTGCACGTGCAAACAAGAAAACGCGGCCAGAGGAAAAGGGGGAGAACGCTCAGATGGTGGTCTCGTACGGGACGGGGACCATCGTCTGGGGGATGTTGTCGCCGGTGGCGGCGGCGACGGTGCGCGCCTCGCGCGGCTGGGCGGGGATGCGTTTTAGGTTGATGCGTTCTGTGCGGTGCGTCAGTACGAGTATGAGGGAAGGAGGGGCAAGACGTAAGGCGAGGAGGGAGTACGGGGAGAAGGGAGACGAGGGGGTGGGAAAGCGGGGGAGGCAAGGGAGAGGGAAGAGGAGAGGGTAAGAGGAGAAGGCGGGAGGAGGAGCAAGGGGGAGAATGCAGGGAGGTGGAACGGGAGAGATGGGAGGGACAAGGGTGGGGGAAGCGGAGGCGGTAGGAGGCATGGGAGGGAGGGGAGGACGGGGTGAAGGGGGAGAGAGGGAAGGCAAGGGATTGGAGGGGCAGGCAGGAGGAGCAGGCATATGCGGGGTGAGCGCAGGGAAGCCGGAGCAAGACCCTCCCCTCCGGACCCCACGAAATATAGACACAACTCAAGCGCACTCACCGCCCTTCTCCTTCGCCTCGACGTGGGCGGCGTGGTTTGACTTGACGCGGTCGAGGAACTCCTGGCGGCACTTTGAGTGGCGGACGTGCTCGACGCGGAGGTTGACGCGCTTCTCGATGTAGCGGTTGCCGACGACCTTGTACACGATGACACCAACGGCGGAGGGCGTCACGTTGTACACGATGCCTGTCCGGCTTTGTGTGCAATAATCGTCAGAAATCATTTTTTTTTCAAAAATATAAAAGGGGACGACGCACCCGTGGTAGTATTTATGGGGCATACCCTTTTGCTGTGCGGCATTGGCCTTGATGTCGACGATGTCCCCGACGTGGTAGTTGATGAGGAAGGTGGACAATTTTACGGGGCCGTGCTCTGTCGTTGTCTCGCATTAGCACCAGACAACTCGTGCACACCGCCCGACGCACCCTTGAAGCCCCGCTTGAACATGTGGCGCGTGCGCGCGCGGTAACCGAATGAGTGGGGCATGTTGAGGACGGCGACGACGGCGGGGAGGAAAAGTGGCTTGTGTGCTTGAGATTTGTGCGTGTATCGATTTGTGGCTGTGCCAACTAGGCAGCTGCACGTGCGCCATCAAATCCCGATCTTTTCTCAAACCCTACTCTCTCCCTCTCCGCGCACAGCAAGATGCCCAGGTATGTTCTGTCTGTGGCGGGAGTGTTGTGCTGACGCTGCTTAGGGCCCCGAGGAACCACTCCAAAACGTGAGGCTTTAACAGAAAATCCACTCCGGTGGAGGGTTGCTTGTCGCGCTTGCTAAAGCCGTCGCCCCACTCTACAGATACAACGTCCCCCGTAGGCCGTTCGAGTCTGCCCGCCTCGACTATGAGCTGAAGGTTCCCTCCTTCCCCCCTCTTTCTTTTTCACTTTTATTGACGCCGTTTTCGCCCAGCTCGCGGGCGAATACGGCCTCCGCAACAAGCGCGAGATCTGGCGTATCGCGCTCATCCTCTCCAAGATCCGGCGTGCCGCGCGTGAGCTCCTCAAGCTCGACGACAAGGACCCCAAGCGTCTTTTCGAGGGTAACGCCCTCATCCGCCGGCTCGTGCGCATCGGTGTGCTCGACGAGGCCCGCATGCGCCTCGATTACGTGCTCGCCCTCAAGGTCGAGGATTTCCTTGAGCGCAGGCTGCAGACCCAGGTCTTCAAGAGCGGCTTGGCCAAGTCCATCCACCACGCCCGCACGTTGATTCGTCAGCGCCACATTCGGTGTGTATTTGTGTCTTTTTGCGCCTTGTCCCTGTTCCCTATCCCTCCTTCCTCCTTGACTTCCCACATCCCTCCCCGCACCTTTCCCGTCTTCCGTCCCTATCCCGCTGCTCTTGCCATACCGCGCCCTCCCTTTTTTCACCCATCTGGTACATTGCCATCTTGCCTATCTCCGCCTCTCTACCTCTCCTCCCACCTCTTGCGTTCTTGTCCCTTGTCCCGCTCCCACCTTCCTCCTACCATATCCGTTCCCGCCTTCGTCTCCCTTTCGCGTCTTCCTCCACCCTTCCCTTACTCTGCCGCCCGCCTATCCCTTCCCTCCTCCCGCCTATCCCTTCCCTCCTCCCGTCCTCCCACCCGCACCCCCCCCTCCCTCATACCTCGCTCTCCCTCTCCTCTACCCTTTCCTTCCACTATATCCGCTCCTCGCCTTCCTCCTTCGCTTCTTCTTCGTCCCTTTCCTTGCCCTCATCCCCCGTCGTCATCCCGTCCTTTTTCGTTTCTACCCTCCCCTCGCCTACCACCCTCCCCTCCGTCCCCACCTCCACCGTTTCCCCACCCCCCACCGCCCCCCCACTCGCCCATATTTTCTCGCCATCCCCACCGCACCCCATTCTAACTGCTTACTTCTTCCCCCAGCGTCGGCCGCCAGATCGTCAACGTCCCCTCCTTCGTCGTCCGCCTCGACTCGCAGAAGCACATCGACTTTGCCCTCACCTCGCCGTACGGCGGCGGCCGCCCCGGCCGCGTCAAGCGCAAGCGCGCCGCCGCCGCCGCGAAGAAGGAGGAGGGCGGCGATGGGGAGGAGGAGGAGGAGTAGGAGTGATCGATTCATTACTCGTTTTAGGAGGAGGAGGAGCAGGAGGAGGTGGGGGAGGAGGAGACGTGGTCACCGCCGCTGCCGCTGGGGCGACGAGGCGAGGGCGGGCGTTACAAAAATCTGTGGTACAATATGTTTACATGCGTATGCATTCCATGGTCGTTCTTTTCAGTGCAGTCTGCCAACGCCGCTCCCGACCCAACGTGGCGAGGTCCCTGAGATGTACTGTAGGCGGAGAGGTGCAGTCGCGGCGTCAGAGGCTGCGTCACAGTGTATCTCAAGTCAAAGTAGTCCAAGTCGGGCTAGCGCGGGCTGTGAGGTGGTGAGCTAGGCAGTCGAGTCCGAGCGCGTGCGCCTTGCGTCTTCGTCCTGCCTCCTGTGTCTCCGCCTCGTCTCGAATTTAAGGTCGTCGCCACTGCCAGCGTTGGTTGATGCGGCAATGATGCCTGAGAAAATAAGCGTATATGCTACTACTTATTCGTGCGGGGTGCAGGACACATCCGTACGTAAAAGACTCAGCAGCGAACGAGTACGGAAAGGAATTGGAAGAGTCCAGGCGAAGAAAAGATAACAAAAGCGACAAAAGCAGTGTCAAAACGACATATGCATTAAGAGGGATTCGAACCCCCGGCTGGTCAACACTGCGCTATCTCTGGGTAAATTGTATGACCTGGGTTACCGTTACCCCATTAATGCTTCGCTCACTGAATGGGCACTGGGATTTAGCTGATGCCTGGCCTGAGAAAATAAGCAATGGGCCCGGGCATTGCATATGCTACGACTACTTGTTCGTGCGGGGTGCGGGACACATCCGTACGTGATTTAAAAGACTCGGAGGCGAAGGCGAATTAATAAAGCGAGTATGAAGAAGAACCCCGGAAAAGAAAGGGGGAGAAGAAAAAGAAGAAAAAAATGCATGCCCTATTTATGCATTAAAGGGGATTCGAACCCCTGGCTGGTCAACAACAGATTTTGGAACGCAGAATTGTATGACCTGGGTTACTGTTACTATCAGTGGCCATAGGGCGAATATAACACTCTGGAGTGAATAATATCTCACCCTTGTACTTGCATGGTGCAATATGACCCATTGCGCACCCTCAGACCGATTTTCAACCCAAAGTGATGAGTTGATCCAAAGCTGTGCTCGAGTTGATTGCGGTCCGCAGGGTGAGAAAATCAATTTCCTAACTCCGAGCGACCGCCTCGCCTGTTTCTCAACCAATACTTGAGCAATCCAGGACTTTGGGGGCTACTTCTTCTGCCACAACCTTGGGCTTCCATCTGGGCATGTAGCTCACGGTGTAAACCCTTTTATGTACTTCATAATCCACCAACACAATTGGAACTCTAACCCGAGACTTGAGATACCCAAGGGGACCTCGGGATTCGAAATAAGTACATAGGGTCGAAAAGTTTTTTTCGACCCTCGGCTGACCCCCTCCCCCTCCCCCTCCTTCCATATAGGGAAGGAGTTTCCCACCCCTAGCGCCGGGCCATTGCCTCCGATTACGGCCGCAGCTCAGTATACCACTGGAGGTGGGCATGACAGGCAGTATAGCTATCCAACAGAGTAGTAACACCCTCCTGGCCATCTAGTACACCTCTGGTGTGCTTTTCCTCACACTCCTGTGCTGCTATCTGGTCTATCACCCCCACTTTGGCACTAGGCACCAAATCATCACAACTTAGGTGTATATTGGCAGGGGAAAATAATGATACTGTATATCCATGATAGTGAGTCTCATATTCTGTTTTCCTGAACATCTGGGAAAGTGGTTGAGCCAACGGAAGGCAAAATCTACAGTGCCGTGCCTGCTCCGGCATTCCATATTAGGAAACTGACCTTCAAGATGGTTGGGGCATCGTACAAACCCTTCCTAAAACCTCTGGCATGGTTCAAATGGTGTTTTGAGGGTTTCCAACATCTTCTAACAAAAGTATCACAAAGTTTTTTTCAGCCTCCCCCGGCCCCACGTACGAAATTTTAATCCCGAGTTCCCCTTGGAGATACCGATGTAGTCTTCAAGATTACGATTCCAGTGCCTTACATGAACCATTAAGATAGATAAAACTTTCATACTATCAATAACTCACCACACTAATACTGCCCTGTCTCTCTTAATGTCAGTACAGGTAGAAAATCACCCTTTCGACACTGGAAAAAAAGATTAAATGTCGGGTTCTCGGCAGCATGCCTCGGAAGTAAGAGATCTGGGTTCAGGTGGGTCTATCAGCTTCCAATGAACCCTCCTATAACTTATTTTGGCCAACGGCGCCATACTGCTGGCGCAACTCCCTCACTTAGCTCACAGTGTGGATCCCGCCACTCACAGTTCTCATGGGACGACTCCGGTACTGCAGTTTTGCGAGGTGCAATGTACAATATCAGCATCCAGAATACATCATTTGGACCCCATGTACATTATGGTCAACAGTGCGTGCCCCCATTGGCTGGCAGCAATGGGTTTTTTACGGTGGCCAGGTATGCCGACATTACCCTTTCGGGAAATCCCATAAAAATAAATTTGTTGGGCACTCAAAATGCCACCAAAATTATCCCAAGTATGTTCAATCTCTTCAAAAGCTGCACGCATATCACCTAAGGCCCACAGACCTGGGAAATGTCCCCGTGGAATACCGGAATTGGGGCCAAAACCCCTAAGGTGGCCAGGTTCCCAGCGTGATATAGTACCCCATTAATGCTTCCCTCACTGAATGAGCACTGGGATCAGACCTGTTGATAGACGTGACACGACTGAAGAGACAAAACTAAAGAAGGCATTAAAAAAGAAGGAAAAAGAGACAAAAGACTGGTTGTTTATCTATGCATTAAGGGGATTCCAACCTCCGGCGGGTCAGCAAAGTTGATAGAGCTGGTATACACTTGGATGACCTGGGTCACCACTATTAGGGGGAAGTCAGAGTTGTCGATTCCCAGTCGATTCACGGTCGATTCAGAAAGTGATTCTGATTCGATTCTGTGCCTTGAATCGAACAATAACCGTGACCGACCCGATTCTGAACTCGATTCTGGGGTCAATTCTGGACCATCAAACCGTGCTGTCATAAGAATCAACCCAGAATTGAGTCCAGAATTGAGTCCAGAATCAACAAGTTCCTCCTCCCGAGACTGCACGGAATCGAGTGGAAAAGTCAATTCTGGTACAGTCGATTCTGAGTCGATTCTCGCTCCAGAATCGAATCTTGAATTGGATTGAGAATCGACTCAGAATCGAGGACTCTGACTTCCCCTATTGCTGTTGATCTCTTTAATCTGCAAGACTCAAGGCATGTGGGGTGGGATCCTCTGCATCTGACACCAATGTATGCTCTGAACCAGCCTAGAAATTGGATGTGGTGTATGGTACACAGCCAGCTTCTTTGGAACAGAAGTATCAGATTCACCAGTGGTGTTTTGGGGTTCAACTCCCCGCATCTGAACTTGGAATTTCTGTGTCTTTTGCCTATTTCTTTCTCGTATAGCGGTTGTAAATTGAACATGGCAATATTTGGTGTTGAATTTTCCTTATTGGTGGTTTTATTACAAGCACCCCATAAATACCATTCTGATCTTGCTGATGGGATGACACAGCCACACGTATTTTGCGCTTTGACCGATCCAAATAGGCAACCCGCGCGGATGGCGTGGCAATTATATTAAGTGAACTATGAGCACTACATTAGCCCATTGAATCATAATTAAATTGTGTTTTCTTTCAAAGTAATGTGCCAACTGGTTTGGAGATTTGGAACAATGTAAATACAGATACTACTCAATCAGCTGCAGTCTGTAACAGAGTATGCAAATACATAGGAGCGCTGATTACCTGTTTCATTAGGAGAACACATCGCGGGTTCTCGGAGATCTTGACATGGCCATTAGTGTGTTCAGACTGAGACAATTGCCCCTTTTCCCTCTCCCTCAACCAAACCATTTATCAGTCTTCATGATAGTGGTCCAAGTTTTTTTCCAGATGTAGCACATTTCAAGTCGCAATTGTATGCTGTCGAAAGAATATTCGGAAATGTCCTTCGCTAAACAATCGCGGTTGAGTTGCCAGCGACGATTGTTCAACAGACGATCGCAAGGACAGCCCAGTCGCACCGCCATCAAGTGCACCTTATGGAGTTCTCATGATCCTAACAATGTTGTCGTTGTTCGCCCGCAGCTTGTACAACTGCGAACTCGCACTGTAAGTCCATTTACTTTTTTCATCAAATTCTGAGTATCTATAATAGCCGTGCTTTGCATTCCATGTCAGCTCCGGCACTCGAGACAATGCAAGTGGAGGACCTCAGTTCAATGTACGAAAATAGGTACACCCACCCCGCAGTCGGTTTCCCGTGGTCGAATGACTGGGACGACTGGCCGCTTCTTCGAAGATCTCTTTGCCAAACCTTCCCCGAGAATAAAACTGCTCAAAGATTCCTACGGCTTATTCGGTACCATCGAACCACTAGTTCATGCCCCGGGAGCACCCAACTAGTACTTCATGTTCACTGCGGGTGGGCAGTATTACTTTGGTCGGACAAAGAGTTTCTTCATGCACGAGACGGAGTTCGCGTTGCCAAAGGAACGGACCATGCATTGAAGGAGCAGGAGAATCAGCCAAAGCTGAAGGTTCCGATGCTTTCCATAGCTGATTTTGAGATGTAGTGGTGATAGGGGGCATTCATATTTCTCATCCTAGATACGTGCAAATCCAAGACAACTGTACGAGTTTGTGATAATTGACTCACTTTGGTCAACCATCCGAGTTGGTGGCCATTTAAACTTCTTTAAAATTGCCACCATCCTGACTCCCGTCTTTTGCCCTTTGTTGCTTCTCGCCCTCTCAAAAAAATTACCTGTGCTTTCCAGAGTTTTCCGCCTGCCGCGGGGAGATGGAAAGGGATGTTGTCGATTGGGGTCTCTAACTGATCCATTCACCGTGCATGCATAGATGGATGACCGCATTCTCGTGCATTGACAAAGGTAACCAGATCTTCAGCTTGATCCGCAGATTGGTGCGCTGTAGATGTAGAGAAATTGGTACCGGTTCAATCAAGCATATCAAACACCAAATTTACAGTATATCGCCTTCTTCCTCTTCCCCTTAAACCAAAGACCATGCTGGCTCACTATAACATGTGAGCTTGCGAGCACATATTTGTTATAGTGTCTGTCTACGAGAGACTACTGGCTCACCCACTGGACCAAGGCCGCCACCGGCATAATCCCAATCCAGCACTGCTTCCTATTTATTTGGAAAGTTCAAGTCCTTCTCTCCGTAGTAGTACTTGAAATTATCGAAGATTACTCCATCCAGACCATCATTCCGGCGCCATCTTCTGACCCTGTCCGCGAGTGTCCGCCCTAGTGTTCCCACGGAAAGATATTTATTGCGCCCAACAATCTCGAATTTTGGCCCAAGACAAACATCACGGAGTCCACCGGCATTCGGACACCGTGCGCTAATGAAATCGATCAGACCATCCAATTGCGCGGACTCGGTGGAATCAGAATGGGGTCGGAAGCGGGTGTAAGAAAAATCGGCGAGTGCTGGGAGCAAGGTTCGGTTTTCCGTGACAAAAAATTACCCTCAAGTAAGATGGTCCCGTGTTTTAGACAGAAGAAAGCGCCATGAGCAGGACTTGCCGACAGAAATCGGGCGAGGAAATTCCTTGTTGAGCAGTGTTGCAGTCGATGGGCA